GTCAGGAGCAGCGGCTCCCGCTGCTCTCCCAGCACGGGGACCACGCTAAACACACTACCGTTAGTAATTTCCCCCCATTTCAGCCTTTATTCTTCGTCAGCCCAGTGTTGGGTGTAGGATTTGCCTAGGGTCAAGAGGGACCTGCGCTGAGGTAAGCTGGAAGCTGAATGGGAGCGTCACTGAGAGCCCACACCTCGCATGGAGAAGCCCTTTGATAAAAAACCCCCGCCGTGTTATTCACCTGCCGTGTTCTGTGCTGTAGTATGTGCAGAAGAACTGGGGTTTGGAGGAGGAGGTCCTGGCAGGGACGCAGACTGACCATTTTCGACAGAAACTTAAGTACAGCGTGCACTTCCACATAGTTGGCGTTGTATGGGGCAGCCGCATTGCACTGGTGGTTTGCAGTCTTCCTGCCCTTTCCCTGCCACTGCTTCCCTCCTCGGTTTGTGCTGCCTTTCTCTTTGCCCCAGTGTTAGCATTTAGGCTTTTGCTTTCTCACTTCGTCCCGTTGATCTGTCTGCAGGCTTCTTCAGCTTGGTTTATCTTGCTTTGCACAGAAGCTGTTGTGCAAAAGCTTTATTTTTACAGTGCCTTGCTTTTAGTGGTGGTGCATCCTAGTAGTGAGGCAGGACTTAACCTGTGCAGAGCTGTGGAAGAGTCTTTTCTTTCCTGCAGGTACCTGGCTCATTCCTTACCTGTATTTGGACAGATCTTATAGACAAAATCCTGCTTCGTTCTCCCCACTTGTATCATTTAAGAAAAATCAAGAGACGATAATTCTACATTTAACAGTACAGTTTGACTTGCTGTTTTTTGCCTGTTGAAGTGACTGATTTTGGCACATGCACTGTTGTCCCTTGACTTTTGAGCTACATGCTGCTCAGTCGCCATTCAGTGTAAGTCCCATACTAGAGACGCCTCATATGACCAGAAGCTGGCTCAAGCACTGAATATCTAAACTGAACAGAGCGGTGGGTGAGCACACAGTGCTGTAGCCACGATAGCGAGGTTCCCCCAACACACCCGTGCACGCTCCATCCCAGCCCATCCCACAGTGGTGTGAACTGCTGAAGACATTTACGCTTCCTAGCAATGAGTTGCTCCCAGTGCTCCTCCTCCTGCAGACTTCCTGCAGCAGCACCTTGTTTCTAGCATACAGTATACATGATCGGGAAGACTGGATGGTTTTGTAGGAAGTTAGGTGTTTTACTTGGGTTGTTTTATTTCAAGAGGAGGCTGCCCCTTACATGTCTCAAAATTTGACCTTGAATTAATTATAAATGTAGGAGAAAAACAGTGTTAATGCTTTATATTCTTGCACTCTAAACTTTTTTGTGTTTTAATAACCTAATGTACGCTTTTACTGACTGCTAATTTAAAGTTATTTTTCTGTAAAAATAAAATGCTAAACTCACTGCTATCCACTCACAATTCTTTTTAATAGTCGGACGCAAAATGAAGGTCATCCAAAATGGTTCGTTCTGGGTGTTGGACAAGTCATAAAAGGGTTAGATATTGGTATGATGAATATGTGTCCTGGAGAAAAACGGAAAGTGATCATTCCTCCATCGTTAGCATATGGACAGCAAGGATATGGTAAAAAAAAATATTTTAATACTAAACTTTGTCTTTTATCTGTTTTACCCTTTCAAACATACAGTATCGTAAATGACCGTAAGAATTTGTGCTCCATTACTTTTGGAGGCACTGAAGGTGATAAATGCAGCTGCGCAGCCTACTCCTGCCCATTCGTATGCAGTTTAAGTAGTCCTCGTCACAGACCTGTGCCCAGGCCTCGCGGTTTGCGTTAGAATTCAGTACATGGCACCTGGTGTGTTTTTCCAAGTATTGCCATAATACAAAAAATTGACAGCAACAGGAAGATCTTATTATCAGCATTTTTTGTCTTAATCTATTATATTCATGTTTAGTTTCTATTCTTTTGCTCCTACCTGCTTAGCCTTTTAATGAAATTCTGCGTCTTCTGAGCAAAATGCAGTGTAAGCCAGTGCATGCCACAGAATTAATCTAAACAGAAATCATTTCTTTAAAAGACTGTTTATATTCTGGGTAGTTAATGGACAATATCACCACATTACATAACAATTGCAACAGTTCAATGCATTAAATTTGATTTGAATTTATGATGCTTAAGTGTGCAGGCTACTTTTTTTTTGAAAAAACACAACTTCCGGTCAGGGTTTTATGCAGTGTTTCAGCACTCTTAGTTATGGATAACTGAAATTCAGCTCTGACTTGGGTGTCGTAATTTCTGTGAAAGCATAGCTGCTGCTATGTAATAATTGTCTGGTAATGGTATTGTGTCAGAATTCCACGCACCAGTTTTTTCTTTGATGCAGTTCCATTGTAGCCAGTGGAGTTTACTAGGAATAATTTTTCCCCTTGAGCATAATGTTCAATAAGTAAGTCTCATAACCACAAGGAAAAACACTAACACAAATAAAAGTGTATTCTTTAAATCTAATACTAGTGTTAACTGTTTGTTCTAGGTAGCACTTCAAGAAAGTATTATTTTCCTACAACATACCTGTCCTCTGTCTCAGAGTATTCCTGCATGCTGGGGAAGATGCCTGCCTAATCTTGAACTAGAAAAGATGCATGTGGCTTTCTAAATCTTTACATATCTTTCCTTTGTTGGTACGTATATTTGTAAACTACTGGCACTGAACTCTAGTGTTGTGTCTTTCTTTTGTAAGTAGTGTATCAACCATGATTTATATTTGGATATATGTAAAACTTCTACATTGTTAAAGCTTTAAGATTAAAATCTTTTGAACTCTGAAATCTGTCATTTTTACTATGGATATTTTAGATGAGAAGTGCAAGTAATAGTTTTGTTTACCTTCTGTTTATAAACAAAGCAGATTCTTTAGTTTTCCTTCAGTTTATGACGAACGGGCACAAGCTCAAAATTCTGTCAAAATTCGAGGTTACAATGTCATGCTCACTGGCTTTGGCTATGAATAGAAGTAACTTGCATGTTTACATTTTAATTTTACACTGCATGATTTCCTGATGCTTTTTTGGCTTTACTTTTAGATGTCATTAGTTTGTTACTGTCTCTCTCCGGTTCCTTTTTTTTGTCAGATGCATGATACTATGACATGTGTTTGTAGGCAGTGGTATTTTTACAGGAGATATGAGAAAATGCTTTGACAAAGGAGTAATGAAGTCTAACATGGTAGTTCGTTTTTTTATTTTTTCCTTAAATCAGATGACTTGCATTCTATTACTTCTTTCTAATGAGATGCATATTTTAAACACTATTTTGCATGAAGTCCATTAACCATAGGAATAATTGATTGTAAGTGGTAAAACCTGATAGTGCCTTCTCATTTCTTCAGACAGAAAATATATACAAGCATTGGTCTATTACTGTAATATTTAAAATCAGATTGCAGATATTAAACAAAGGCATATGTCTTAGAATGTATCTCTCAGTAAGCCCCGTTATATGACAGAGTGAGAACTGTAGAAATACTTGCTTTTCATGTTAACACAAAGCCATCTCTTAATTTTCAGAGGTACCTGAATTGATATGAGCAATATAATTTTGTTTCAGGGAAGTACATTGTTCGCAGATCTCTCTCAAAATCGTTTATCTAGCACAATCTGAACAATCTTCCTGTTTAGCTGTATAATATCTAAATTTGGAGTTTAATCTGAATATTAACACAGCCTTTTGTAATAAAAAATAAGATGCTTTACCTGTGAATTTATCATATGTGGGATCTCTGACCATAATGTCTGATTTCTTAAATGCTTTTTTTTCTTTTCTACATAGCACAGGGCAAGATTCCACCCAATGCAACACTGATCTTTGAGATTGAACTTTATGCAGTAAATAAGGGACCCCGCAGTGTTGAAGCATTTAATCAAATAGACAAGGACAGTGACAAGAAACTCTCTGAACTTGAGGTAATGTGATGTAACTAATTTGGAATAAATCATTTCTCATTACAAGAAAGACATAGAGTTGCTGGAGCGCGTCCAAAGAACAGTGAAGCTGGTGAAGGTTCTGTAGAACAAGTCCTGTGAGGTGTGGCTGAGGGAGCTGTGTTTGTTCAGTCTGAGCAAAGGAGGCTGGGGAGAGACCTTATCGCTCTCTACAGCTACCTGAAAGGCGGTTGTAGCGAGGTGGGTGTTGGTCTCTTCTCCCAAGTAACTAGTGACAGGATGAGAGGAAACAGTCTCAAGCTGCGCCAGGGGGAGGGAGGTTAGTTTGGATATTAGCAAAAATTTCTTCATCAGGAGGGTTTGTCAAGCATTGGAACAGGCTGCCCAGGGAAGTGGTAGAGTCATCGTCCCTGGAGCTGCTTAAAAGACATGTAGACGTGGCACTTAGGGACGTGGTTTACTGGTGGACTTGGCAGTGTCAGGTTTACAGTTGACCTCAATGATCTTAAGGGTCTTTTCCAACCTAAATGATTCTATGACTTGTGAAACTATAGGTATAGTTGCAGCAGTGTTATCTTTGCATGAGCTGCATCTGTTGCAGTTCGTCATGTAAAGCTTCTGTATGCTTACACAAACTACACTGTGCAATGTTGAAATTTACTTTGATTAGTACACTAGTGTGTCTCAGATTGCTGGGAAATAAACTTCAGATGTGTCTGCACTGGAGACACAATAACTTACATATATACCCCAGGTGTCCTTGAAGACAGCTGTTGAGTACTGGCGTAAAAGCCACAATTGTTGGACTTTTTTTCTTTTCTTCTAGATAAGCCAGTATTTGAAAGAAGAATTTGCAAGAGATGGCAAACAACGTCATCCCTCAGTCCATGATGAAATCTTAGCTGATATATTTAAGAAGAATGACCATGATGGAGATGGTTTCATATCAGCAAAGGAGTACAATGTCTACCAGCATGATGAACTCTAAGTAATTAAAAAAATCTTTGGCTGGTTTCTGGACACTGAATTTTAAATAATAATGCTTTGTCACAGAATTTTTTGTAATTTTTTTATAGTGGCATCTTTTTATATCTCTTAAGGTGACTGTAAAAATGTCATTTTTAACATTTAACTAATAAAATGTGTTAGATATTTCAAAAGAAAGAAATAAAATTGGAAAACATGATTATTATTAGTGGCTCCTGCGTTATGTCGTAATCTGCAGTATTGCTCAGTACTCTTTCCTCATTGTGTAAATTACTCATGAAAATAGTTATTTCTCTCATGTCAAGCACACAAAAATGGTTCCCGTACCCACCGGCATAGTTAGAGCATAACTTCTTAGTCCCCTGTAAAGTAAAGGGGAAAACAGAATCCTAGGAAGGTAACTCTGTTAAACCTCTGCAGGCTTCTAGGCTAGCTTCTTGAGGAATTGCTGTTTGCAGCAAATTTAACTATAAAAGGCCTTAAAATAAATGAACGCCGCCTATGGAATGTCCAGATAAAAACACAAATGTTTTTAAACCAACTTAAAATAACCTCTTTGATGTAATATTGACATGAATAACTTGGTGTTCATGAAAAAGCAGTATTTTAGGTAGATTTTTAAACTTTGAATTAGTAATTTTACTAAGTTAACCAGTTTATTCAGCAGCACCAGGTTAGAAATCTACACTGTCATTATTTACTTGGAGGAGGTGGAAGATGATGGGAGGTACTCTATGTAAACATAAGTAATTATTTGGGCATAATTCTGGTTTCCCTCACTTTGGAAAAATGCAAAGTAGCAAAAGTTAATAGACAGTACTTCAGGCTTGTTAACTGTTCTGCTTATGCAGATACCGTCATAGTACTTGTGTAACATACTTACTCTTCTCATGTGAAAAGCAATGGCCGTATTTATTTCAACATGTAATAATCAGATGTGCACAGTGAAAGTGGCAGCACAAGTAAAAAAGCTTCCATACCTGGGTTATCATTAAAATCATTCTAACAGATAGAAAAACATTTTTTAATTGTTTTCCCAATTTGAAATAGCACGGGGAGAGCTTCAACAGTGTACTAACCACCAGCACTCCCAGTCCCAGTGTTGGACACAATTCCATGGTGGCCTCTGGTGTTTATATTCTCAACAGATTTAATTTTCTGCAGTTCAGGTGTGCCGGTTAAAGACCTTCACCCCTGAAGTCCTTTTGGAAGGATGTAGTTCTGTTATTTTCGTAAGCTTCCCAAACATTTTCTGCTAAGCCATTTTTTCTGAATACGTAAAAGACAGTTAAGAGCAACTGTGATCTAAACTCCCAGTGCAGAAGGTGGACTGGCTGGTACCTCTAGTAATGTCAACAAACTGTTGACATATGGTAATGGCATCCTAAAATGAAACACCTATCCCTAGTTTTAGTTGTTCCCTTTTGTAAATGAAACATTAGACTGAGCTAAGTTTTAGCATGTTTTTTAATCTGATACTTCAATTAAACATGCATGAGAACACTAAATTATTAACAAATATTCTCATTTTACATCATAGGCCAGTGTAGATAAAGGCAACAGTTTGGGGTTTAACAACAAGTTTGTGTAAACAACTTCAAGTTCTATAACATATTTTGACATTAAGAAAATTCAGTTTAAAAGTAAATTTTTCATTATCATGATAATGAGAGGAGAAGGTACTAGAGAGAAGAAAAGTGATATAAGGGAATGCATGAGGGCATTTTCAAGTAAAAGGTCATTGACAGTGAAACATAATTCAAAGATAATAGTATAGTAAAATGCTTTGCACTTTCACTATTTTGCATTTCAACAATTTGAGTCATATTTACTAATTCTGAAAAGTTTGTGGCACAATTACGTCTGTGTCTGCAACAACAGGCACTTACCTAGCTCAGTTACTTTACTCTCTTATGCCAGAGGTCAAAACAGGGCACAGCATGCAGTCGTACGTACTTTTGTCCATTGAAAGAACACTCTAGGCATCCATAGACTGTTTCCCTTTTAGAACTTCCCATTCCACACAGGACACAGGGACCTTTGGGGATGTTGTTATTAAGTAAATTAATTCGGATATGAGACCCTTCTCTGAGATAGCTGGTAGAGAGGTCAGTCGTGCTCGCAGCTTTTTCATAGTAATCTGTAAAAAGGTCCTCCAAGTAAGCATCAGAGTTAGCAATGGCATCCACTACTCTCTTATCTGAAAAAGAACGCACAAAAATAAGGAGCAATGATTTGTCATTACATCATGAACTGTTTACAAAACAATCTGTCAGTCTAATTATGGAAATAACAACTGATTCATGAAACCATTCTAAACATGCCATGTTGTAGATTCCTTCTCATTAAAAGTCCTGTGTGATGAAAACTTTAATTTCACAAAAGACACTGGCAAAAGCCAGATATTTTTGTATATGACCTATATAATCACGGTACTTCTAGAAATGCACCTGAAAGATAGGCATGAGGCAAGCTTTTCAAAAATTGGTGCCAAATCAAATCACAGCTGCATACTTTCCTGTTTAACCATTTTTATTTTTGCATTTTTAGCTTTATTATATAAAAATTATAAATTCACTTTTTTCCCCCTAGTATTTACAAAAAAAACCCCACCAATACTTAAGAGGTTTAGAAAATTGAGAGAACTGAGCCTCTAAACACCCTGGCAAGAAATCACTTTTAGAACTACCTACCTTTTTCGTCTCTCTTTCGGGACTGATTGGTTTAGATTGGCTGACAGAACTTTAGGGAGCTACAGCAGCTGCGAGGTATCATCACACCCACTGAAGGTTTATTCCCTTAGCGTGGACGGGGGCAGCACTGAAGGCTTGGTCCATAAAAGCCCTTTGATCAAGAATGGGATACAGTGGAGCAAGCACACCTATACAGAGCAGCCTTTAGAAGGATGTGTTTACTGCTCAACATTTAACTTCACACTCAGATTTGCAGATTTCCAAAATAATAAGGCCGAGGAGTGTTAAAAGTATAGGATCTTGTTCTGAAGAAAATACAACTTCATACAGTGATGGTCGGTTTTGCTGGATTTGGTGTTCATGCCAGAATGAGACAAGAGAACTGTGGTGGTATCTTGCCCATGTCCCTGCCATGTGAACATATAGCTTGAAGTGTACATTCAAATATTTAAATTAATATTGTTTGACATTTAGTTTGCCCTGAAATGTTATTTATATATTATAACTTGTATTATGTAACACTAGTCATAAATGGCAAGCATATATAAATAGGCTCAATGTTAATTGAAGTTAGTTGTATAATTACTCCATGCCAGTTTATCATCAGCCACAAATTTTTATTTTAAGATCTTTAGAGATTTAATAAACAGCAATGACTTTACAATCTTCTTAATACACAAGAAATTGAGGTACATTTTCAATCAAAATTTTCTTTAAACATTCATCTTGCACACAAATTGAAACAAAAATATAATCCTTGTGCATTAACTAAGATATTTGAATATAAATATCAAAAGTCATACTTCGATGAAAGAGATTACTCTTTAACCTCCTTAATTTGATCAGTGAAGATGATCCAGATTTCTCTTTTTCAAATCCTCCTTTCGAAATTGGAGTCACACAGAGTTCTGTAAAAATTAAAAATGTTTTTAGAATAATGAAATATGAAAGCAGTAATCGCACAACAGAGTTTAGTATAGTTTCTAATCTATAAAGCTAACAGTGATTAAATTCAGCTTTGCTAATGTTTTTAATGGCTAAAAACACTTTGTAATACAAGTCTGCACACAGTAATAGCCCATAGAATCTAGTGACATGGATTCAATGGGAATTTTTAAATGCGGCTTTCAACATACATGAGAGTTTCTTTTGGTTTTTACACAATTTATGGCCATATTAAGGGACTACGACAGTAAGTATATAAATGGAAGTCCCAATTCTGAAGGAGAAACATTTCTATGATCTCATTTGAAACTAAAAATGAAAAATACTAAGGAAGGCTGTGAGTTGCGTAGTCATCTTCCAGCAACAAATCAACAACTAAATTTTTTTTTTAATAAAAATAACTATCACCTAAGTTTCTGTCCATAACTTGAAAGAAAACCTTTAAAGTGAAATATAAGGATAATCAGTTACAAGGAACTGAAAAAAACACATTTTAGACTTTCTTAGTTGAGAATTCTCTTTAATTATGCAAATACAAATATCAGCTTCATTGATTATTCCACTGATAATGACTTTAGCAAAAACACTGTGCATGTACATACCATTGCATAAAGGTAAAAAAAAACTAAAACACTTCCAAAATTGAAATTAATGTTGAGCATTATGGAAGTGAATATAAAGAACTACCATACTGTATTATCCCTTTTACTTTTATTCCAGTAATTATACTTGGTTTGGAGTACATTTAAAGTTTTTACAGAAGGGTAAAGGTATCTCACAGTTCAGTAAGAAGGTGCTTTACAATGCAGAGTTCCTGTCATGGAAGGTTTATACTGCGTATGCCGAAGGGTACAAAGCTATTTGTAGCTTCTGTACCATAGCCCTGTACAGATCTGCAGAGAGAGAGAGGACTTCCCTAACCAGGTTTTTTATCTTGCTATTTACAGAAAGCCACAATGTTATAGAGTGGAGCAATTCCTTCAACAGTTGAGTGTCTCTCACAGAGGTCCCTGCGTTTAAATACAAGTGAACCTGGTGGTTAAAACTTTAACATTACTCGAGCTGGCAGGGATTTTTGCATTTGATATTATCAAGTACCAGATCAAACCCTAAAGCTGACTTTCTAGTTTATTACAAGCAATACTGATAACATTGATGTTATAGGCTACACTTAAATTAGTGCAAATAACATCAATACATAAGTGCTATCCTTTCCCCAAAAGGATGAAATCTTACAGGAGCTATGCAATTTATTTTTATTAGTTTTCAGTAGTCGTGATAATTTCTTCCTAAATATCTTCAGATATCCATATGTGGCAATGATGTATCAGACTGAAATTAAAGCCCCAGCAGAAAAAATGTTATCTTAGTTTAGAAGTTCTGCACACTTTCTTCTTTACTTGGGTCTTTTTACTTGCCTATTTTACGCAAAACTGATCAGATGGTCTCATAAGCCTGTTCCTTACAGGCCAGAAATACAAGGAAGTGATTTTTTGTTCCATGTAACTGCAGGATTTAGAAAAAATTACAAAATCATACTTAACTTCTAAAAAATATT